CCACTGGCTCATATCGAGAGGTAGCCATTCTCAGATCGGGGAGACCCTCACGCCAGGCCGGAGTGCTGTGGGGGTGGCCCATTATCAGGGCCCCGGAGTCGGTTCCTACAGCCCCATACACCCGAGCTCGGTCCCTGGCAGCTGGAAGCAGAGGGCCTAACCATAGACACAGGCTGCAGGTTAGAGAGGTCCCCTCCCTCCCACCCTCACCACATGACCAGATGCCAAAAAGGCCTGCAGAAACTGGGCCATCATCTAGGTTTCTAACTCCAATCATTTTATTATATTGTAATTACACTTCTAACAAATACATTTTAATAAATCAAAATCACACCGCTGGAACCTAAATAGTATGTATCCATGAGAAAAATGGTGGAAATCACCCTTTATAGGGTGGTGGGAAAGACATCTACATCAGATCTCAGGATGGTTACAAGTTATCAAGAAAATAGAAAAATAAACTTCAGGCCGGGCGCAGTGGCTCATGCCTGTAATCCCAGCACTTTGGGAGGCCGAGGTGGGCAGATCACGAGGTCAAGAGATCAAGACCATTCTGACCAACATGGTGAAACCCCATCTCTACTAAAAATACAAAAATTAGCTAGGTGTGGTGGCACACACCTGTAATCCCAGCTATTCAGGAGGCTGAGGCAGGAGAATCACTTGAACCTGGAAGGCAGGGGTTGCAGTGAGCCAAGATTGTGCCACTGCACTCCAGCCTGGAGACAGAGCAAGACTCCATCTCAGAAAAAAAAAAAAAAAGAGAAAATAATCTGGAGTTCATAAGAGAGGTACAGGTTAGACATAAATTTAAGAAATGGGGGCACAGAGATGGCATTTAAAACTATGAGAATGGTGGAAATTACCAGGAGAGTGAGGATAAAGAGTACCAAGGACTAAACGGGGATAATAGCAACATTAAGAAAATGAAAGAACTTGCAGAGGAAACTATGAATACTGATGAGACCGGAAGAAAATCAAGCGAGCATAGTGTTTTGGAAAATGAGAGAAAAGTTTATCAAGGAGGGAGTAACCAACTGTGTTAAATGCTGCTGATAGGACAAGTAAGATTAGAACAGTAACCTGCTATTGGATATAACCTCAAAAAGATTATTAGTGACCAGGTGCAGTGGTGGCTTATGCCTGTAATCCCAGCATTTTGGGAGGCCCAGGCGGGTGGGTCACCTGCGGTCAGGAGTTGGAGGGCAGCCTGACCAACAGGGAGAAATCCCATCTCTACTAAAAATACAAAAAAATCAGCCGAGCGTGGTGGTGCATGCCTGCAATCCCAGCTGCTCAGGAGGCTGAGGCAGGAGAATTGCTTTAACCCAGGAGACAGAGGTTGTGGTGAGCTGAGATCACGCCACTGCATTCCATCCAGCCTGGGCAACAAGAGCAAAAGTCTGTCTCAAACAAACAAACAAAAAAAGATTATTGGTAATCATGACCAGTTTTAGCGAAATGGTATGAGAGAAAGCCCAAAAGGAGGACGTTTGAGAGAGAAAGGGAGAAGAGTAATTAAAGAACAAAGACAGTTGTTTCAAGAAGTTATTCAGAGAATAATGAAGATAAGCAATAGTGGTAGCAGAAAAAGTGGAATAGAGAAGATGATTCTTTTTTAAAAAAATGTTTTTAAAGATACATAGTATTCGTACATATTTATGTGGGTAACATGTGGTATTTTGTTACCTGCACAGAATGTGTAATGATCAAGTGAGGGTATTTAGGTTATCCATCACCTTGAGTATTTATCATTTCTATGTATTGGGAACATTATAAGTCTTCTATTTTTAAACAGACAATACACTGTTAACTATAGTCACCCTACTCTGCTATCAAATATTAGAACTTATTCCTTCTAACTCTATGTTTGCACTCATTAACCCACCTTTCTTTATGAGCCCTCTCTCACCTAAACACCCTTAATTCTATCATTCAGGAGGTCAAGTTTTTTAGCTCCCACATGAGAACATTCAATATTTGTCTTTCTGTGCCTAGTTTATTTCCAATTCCATTCATGTTGCTACAATGACATGTTTTCATTCTTTTTTTATGGCTGAGTAATATTCCATTGTGTACATATACCACATGGTCTTTATCCATTCATCTGCTGATAAATACGTTTATTCCGTATCTTAGGTAGTATGAATGTTGTTGCTATAAATATGGGAGTACAAGTATTCCTTTAATATACTGATTTCCTTTCCTTTGGATAAATACCCAGTAGTGGGACTGCTGAACTGTTTGGTAGTTCTAGTTTTAGTTTTTTTAGAAATCGTCATACTGTTTTCCATAGTGGCTGTAATTTATATTCCCACCAAAATTGTATGTTTCCTTTTCTCCTCATCCTCACCAGCATCTGTTATTTTGTCTTTTTTTGTTTGTTTGTTTTTGAGACGGAGTTTTGCTCTTGTTACCCAGGCTGGAGTGCAATGGCGCGATCTCGGCTCACCGCAACCTCCACCTCCTGGGTTCAGGCAATTCTCCTGCCTCAGTCTCCTGAGTAGCTGGGATTACAGGCACGTGCCATCATGCCCAGCTAATTTTTTGTATGTTTAGTAGAGATGCAGTTTCACCATGTTGACCATGATGGTCTCGATCTCTTGACCTCATGATCCACCCACCTCGGCCTCCCAAAGTGCTGGGATTACAGGCTTGAGGCACCGTGCCCGGCCTATTTTGTCTTTTTAATAGTGGCCATTCAAACTGGGATGAGATTATATTTCTTTGTGGTTTTTATCTGCATTTTCCTGATGATGAGTGATACTGAGCATTTTTTAATGCACCTGTTGACCATTTGTATGTCTTCCTTTAAGAAATGTCTATTCATGTTCTTTGCCCACTTTTTAATTTTTTTAACTGTTGAGTGGTTTGAATACCTTGTATATTTCTATTAGTCCCTTGTCAGACAGGTAGTTTGCAAATATTTTTTCCCACTCAACAGGTTGTCTCTTTGTTGACTATCTCCTTTGCTGTGCAGAAGCTTTTCTTTTCTTTTCTTTTTTTTTTTTTTGAGACAAGGTCTAGCTCTGCTGCCCAGGCTGGAGTGCAGTGGCACGACCTCAGCTCACTGCAACCTCCACCTCCCAGGTTCAAGTGATTATCCTGCCTTAGCCTCCTGAGTAGCTGGGATTACAGCGGTGCATCACCATGCCCAAATAATTTTTGTATTTTTAGTTTTTAGTAGAGATGTGGTTTCATCGTGTTGGCCAGGCTGTCTTGAACTCCTGACCTCAAGTGATCCACCCACCTTGGCCTCCCAAAATGCTGGGATTGAGGTGTGAGCCACTGCGCCTGGCCCAGAAGCTTTTTAATTTCCTATCAGCTGTCTATTTTTTTTGACTTTGCTTTTGAGATATTAACCATAAAACCACTGCCTAGGCCAATGTCCTGAAGGGTTTCCCCTATGTCTTCTTCTTGAAGTTTTATAGTTTTAGGTCTTACATTAAGTCTTTAATCCATCTCAAGTTGATTTTTGTATGTGGTGCAAGATAGGAGTCCAGTTTCATTCTTCTGCATGTCCAGTTTTCCCAGTACTATTTATGAACAATGATGTCTTTTTCACAATGTATGTTCTTGGCACCTTTGCTGATAATCAGTTGGCTGTAAATATGTGGATTTATTTCTAGGCTCTTTATTCTGTTCCATTGATCTATATCTGTTTTCATACCAATATCATGCTGTCTTGGTTACTATAACCTTGTAATATACTTTGAAGTCAGGTAGTATGATGCTTCCAGTTTTGTTCTTTTTGCTCAAGATCATTTTGGCTATTTGGCTTTTCTGGTTCCATATGAATTTTATGATAGCTTTTTCTGTTTCTATGAAAAATGACATTGATATTTTGATAGAGATTGCACTGAATCTGCAGAATGTTTTGGGTAATATAGTCTTTTAACAATATTAATTCTTCCTGGGAATGAGATGTCTTTCCATTTGTTTGTCTCAAGAGGAAGACTCAATGCTTCAAAGTTTTTTTAGGACATGGTTTTGTGTGCTGATGAGAGTCATCCAGTAGAGAACACGACTTGAGGGAAAAGAATTGCTGCAGTGATGCCTCTGAGTAAGTTAGAGGGGATAAGGTCTAGTGGTGAAATCAGCTTTAGATAGAAGCAAAGATAACCAACTTATGGTAACAGGGAGAAGGCAGATGTGGTGATACAGGTAGTAAGAGACAGACATAGATGAAGATTGGAGTCTAAATAAACTGTCTTACTGCCTTAGTTTTCTTAGTTGAAGAAAATTATATTTCAAGTAACACTAATAAACAAATACAAAAAGCAAAAACTACTGGTCTTCAAAATAATTTGTCTTATTTGACCTGCTCATATTAACCCATTTTACTTTCTTCTTTTTTTTTTTGAGACAAAGTCTCACTCTTGTCCCCCAGGCTGGAGTGCAATGGCGCAGTCTCGGCTTACTGCAATCTCTGCCTCCCGGGTTCAAGCGATTCTCCTGACTCAACCTCCCGAGTAGGTGGGATTACAGGCACCTGCCACCATGCCCAGCTAATTTTTGTTTTTAGTAGAGACGGGGTTTCACCATGTTGGCCAGGCTGGTCTCGAACTCCTGACCTCATATGATCTGCCTGCCTCTGCCTGCCAAAGTGCTGGGATTACAGGTGTGGGCCACCTCGCCCAGACTTTAACCCACTTTACTTTCTTCTATTAATGATGCTCATCTGTTTTCACATATAACCAAGCTAGAAAAATGTATGTATCTGTCAATAGTTCAACACATTTGGCTCACAAATAAAACTATGTGACCAAAGGAAAGATTGATAAAGTTAATCAGATTTATTTTTATGCCCTGGTATAAGGTTCATTTACATGATAATAAATCATTTACTTCAAGTTTTAGATTATAGTACACTATTATAGGTTTTTGTCTAAGAAGAAAGAGTAGTCCAAAATTTCACAAGTACAAGTGAAATGTGCTTTTCACAACAGGGACTTAGGCTCTGCTTACACTGAGAAACGTGAGTTTTCAAGGGTACTTACCAACAGTGGTCACAGGAGGCTGGGAAGGGTATTGGGAACTTGTTGTGGCAGGATATGGACCACCAGGTGGGTAAGGACAGCCTGGGTAACCACTAAAGACGAGAACAAAAAACATTTAACATTTAAGATGACCCAACGTTATAGTATTTTCAAGAATCCCATTCAGGAAGTTATGCTTGGCATATGGTTGTTATACCAGTTGATGAATTTATAGTTTTAGAGCTGCAGGTGTTTATTAAAGTTCTATGGAAATTGTATTAATGACACTGGATTTACTCTTAAATAGTTAAATGCTCTTGCTTTGTCCCAGTTAATATGACAGTCAACTTCACAACAACAGAAACTAACGAGTATTTCTTGTTTTTTTTTTTTTTTTTTGAGATGGAGTTTCGCTCTTGCTACCCAGGCTGGAGTGCAATGGCATCATCTCGGCTCACCGCAACCTCCGCCTCCTGGGTTCAAGCAATTCTCCTGCCTCAGCCTCCCTAGTAGCTGGGACTACAGGCACACGCCACCATGCCCAGTTCATTCTTTGTATTTTTAGTAGAGACAGGGTTTCACCATGTTGACCAGGACGGTCTCGATCTCTTGACCTCGTGATCCACCCGCCTCGGCCTCCCAAAGTGCTGGGATTACAGGCTTGAGCCACCGCGCCCGGCCTAACGAGTATTTCTAAGGACAATCCAACAGCATCAGAAGCAACAAGTAATTTGTGAGAGAACTTTTCTGATTTCTCAATCTATGTGAAATTTTACCTATGGCTTATTGGTAACCTTTAAAATACTTGTCTTCAAGTACTTTTTTTCGTCTTTTGATAACATTCGTACCAAACTCGTCTTTAAATAGTTTTTAAAAAACCTTTTTTCTCACTTTCTTGACACTTTCTGTCATTCATGTATTTATATCAAGCTCAGAGGAACTTTCTTTAGAGGTTTTCTACTCCAATTAGCTTTTCAACAATCGCTTACCTCTACGTATCATTTACAACATCCCTGACAAATGGTCATCTTTCTTTAACATTAAACATCATTTCAATATAATTTCTAAATAGGAGTCCTAAATTTGCATTTTGGAAGATCATTGAACTATTTGGAGACTCCTAAAACTCATATATTTGAGAAATTCTAACATTTTTCCCTCAGGCTTCTTTTCTTTGGGTTAAATATTCTTAATTCCTTTAACCATTTGTCTCAGGACATGATTTTCAGATCTAATTGCTTTCCTCTGAATGCTTACTGGTCAGTGTTTCCCTTACAATCATGAAGAAAATTAGAAAAGGATGATTACTGGCTACCTGCTTAGTTGGACAATAAATCTCAATTAATCCTACTTTAGCTACAATTGCCAATTCTATGACATTTGCCTTTTACAAGCTCTTTAAAACTGCTGATTAAAAAGTGAGCCCAGGCTGGGTGCAGTGGCTCACACTTGTAATCCTAGCACTTTGGGAGGCTAAGGCAGGTGGATCACTTGAGTCCAGGAGTTCAAGACAAGCCTAGGCAACATGATGAAACCATCTCTACAAAAATACAAAAATTAGCCAGGTGTGGCACACACCTGTAGTCCCAGCTACTTGGGAGGCTGAGGTGGAAGGATCACTGAAGCCCAAGAAGTGAGCTGAGATTGCACCACTGCACTCCAGTCTGGATGACAGAGTGAAGCCTTGTCTCAAAAAAAAAAAAAAAGGTAGCCTAAGCACTGGAGCAACAGCTCCTTCTGAGTTTATGGTCAATAATCCTTTTCAATGCAGTGGTTCAAAGATTTTCCAATTTGTATATCAGCTCCCACTTTATAACTTCTCCTCCGCAAAAAATGTTATATCTGACTTAAGATTCAATGTAATCATGGTACTTATCTATCAGTATAAAATCAAAAAATTTTTAAAAAGACATTTTTGTTCCTAGACACATGCTAGAAGTTACTGAACAAGTACTTTTGTTTCCAGTCTCTTTGGTAATTCATGCTATAACGTTGTAAGGAAATGTAAATCTTACTGAAATTTCTAAATCTACCTTTTTGAAAACTGGGATAAACTGTTGTTTCTTTTATTCTGGAGTTTCCCCTATCTTGCATACCTTTGCAAAGATGTGATCATACTGCCAAATTTTTTTGTAACTTGGTATAAAACTCTTCTAAGCCTACAGGTATTAACTTCAGAGAAATCTCCATCTATAGCTTTATTGTTCACAAGTCCATTTCCATAGTGTGCCTTCAACAATTATTCCCTCTATGTCCAAAGCTCCTTTTACTAGCAACTGTTCAGTAGAAAGGCTTGTAATTTCAAGGCTTCAGGTAGGATTCCATTTCTAGAACTTAATCGGAAAATTTAAGGCCTCAAGAAATCTAAAATGTATAACCTGCTTATATATTACTACCAAAGGAATCTTTCTCTATTGTCCCTGACAAATGTTCTTCCAATCTCTGCTTACCTATCTGAAGTGACAGTATGCTTACTACCTTCTAAAAAGTTGTGAAAAGAAGACCCAGAAATGAAATGTTTGCTAAATTAACTTTCAAGATCCTAGGTATTACATATGTACATATTTATATATGGCATGTGTTCAGACATCTGGCTGCATTTATCTGTGGGGATTATGATGAGGTTATGAAACTAAAAAGAGTTACTATCATTAAATTTTCCTTACTGTTAACAGCAGCTGGAAGTCTCATTTTGGCACCAGTATAGGCCAGTCTTTTATTTATTTATTTTTTTGAGACAGGTTCTCACTCTGTTGCCCAGGCTGAAGTGCAGTGGTGCAATTATGGCTTACAGCATCCTTGAACTGCAGGCTCAAGTGATCCACCTTAGGTTCCCAAACAGCTGGGACTACAGGTTCACACCGCCATACCTGACTAATTTTAATTTTTTTGTAGAGATGGGGTCTACTATGTCACCCAGGATAGTCTCAAACTCCTGGGCTCAAGTGATTTTCTCACCTTGGCTTCCCAAAGTGCTGGCTGGCATTTTAAGTTAACCCAAAAACCATTTTGGAGAGTACTCCTAGATTACCACTGAAACAAGTACACATTTAAAACACGAGTTAATAATGATTTCTCATTGACTTTCTAGTGTGTGTTATTAACAGACTAATTTCATTGTTAATTTAGTTATTTATGTTATTACTAAGTGGATAATAAAGGTTGATAGCATAGGTAGTCTATGAACTGAATAAATATCATGGGACAAGTTTGACCCCATTATCTGAACCACTGATTGATTCCTGCAATTTGTAGAAAAGATAGGTTTTGTTTGTTTCAGATGGAGTCTTGCTCTGTCACCAAGAGTGGAGTGCAACAGCATGATCTCAGCTCACTGCAACCTCTGCTTCCTGGGTTCAAGCAATTCTCCTATCCTAGCTTCCTAAACAGCTGGGATTACAAGCATGTGCCACCATGCCTGGCTAATTTTGTATTTTTAGTAGAGACGGGTTTCACCATGTTGGCCAGGCTGGTCTCCAACTCCTGACCTCAGGTGATCAGCCCGCCTCAGCCTCCCAACGTGCTGGGATTACGGGCATGAGCCACCACGCCTAGCCAGTTATGTCTTTTTTTTTTTTTTTTTTTTTTGAGACAGAGTCTTGCTCTGTCACCCAAGCTTGAGTACAGTGGCATGATCTCAGCTCACTGCAACCTCCGCCTCCTGGGTTCAAGTGATTCTCCTGCCTCAGCCTCCCAAGTAGCTGGGATTACAGATGAACACTACCACATCCAGGTAATTTTTGTATTTTTAGTAGAGATGGGGTTTCACCATGTTGGCCAGGTGAACATGGCCTAACCTTGTGATCCACCCGCCTTGGCCTCCTCAAAGTGCTGGGATTAGAGGCGCGAGCCACCAAGCCTGGCCTATGTCTTCTTTTTTTCCTAAAAAAAAAAAAAAAAAGAGCATTGCTGGGTGCAGTGGCCCACGCCTGTAATCCTAGCACTTTGAGAGGCTGAAAGCAGGGGGATCACAAGGTCAAGAGATCAAGACTATCCTGGCCAGCATGGCGAAACCCCACCTCTGCTAAAAATACAAAAACTATCTGGGCATGGTGGTACATGCCTTTAGTCCCTGCTACTCGGGAGGCTGAGGCAGGAGAATCGCTTGAACCCGGGAGGTTGAGGTTGCAGTGAGCCAAGATCATGCCATTGCACTCCAGCCTGGGCAATAAGATCGAAGCTCTGTCTCAAAAAAAAAGAAGAGAGTATTAGAAAATGTTCTTCCCCTTGGCTGAATTCATTATGAGAAACAGTCCATTAATATTTCAGCTATCTATACCAGATACACAAATTTCTTAAAAGGGAAATAACAAGGACTTCCAGGTCAAAAACGAGATCACTGTCATTACTCATCCCATTCCTTTTCTCTGCAAAATAAAAACGAAGCCAAGGAGCTGCATTTCTCTAGATTGAAAGAAACACATTTCAAACTATATACACATACCTTAAAATTCCAGCATTAAACCAACCTTTATCTTCCACTAAATTGCAACTAAATTTATTTTAATACCCTAATTGGCAAATTATTTTGATTCTAGATCTAATAGAATAATTTGTAATATAATTATTCAAAAGATAATTTTTCTTTACCTGGGATTGGGAGGGTATCCAGATGGGTATGAAGAGATTCCACCTGGCACGCCTGGCATGTAGGAAGCTAAAAACAATTTTTTAACATTGTAAAAATAACATACAAAGCCTGAAGATGTAGGCTACTGAATAAATACATCATACTGTCAATACACAGCAAAATTTTGTAGTTAAAAAATCTAAATCTCAGAACCAAAACAAAACCAATACCTCACCCTCCCATAATCCTCACATCATTAAACATGAATTAAAATACTTAGGACAATCCCAACCAGAAGAACTGGCAAACAGGTCAACCTGGTCAGCTTTTAAAGTTCTCAAGAAGTCCATAACCTGCGATAAAGTCAGCTTCAATTTCATATTTAGAAGGAGGTAATTCTGGTCTCCTTTGCTCCAAGGTTAATGTCTTACAGAGTAACTTCTTTATTATATCTAATAAATCTTTTGATATTTCTAACTATGTTGACCAATTAGCACAGCTGGTTTTGTTGGTTTGCTTGAAAACTTTAAGAGACTTCAAGTTTAAATTTCTAAAAAAGTTACCTAGTGGTCACTGGCTATATTATCGGAGTAAATAAACAAAGGTAATGAGACTAGGAAATACTTGATATTTCAATTTTTTTTGAGATGGAGTCTCGCCTAGGCTGCAGTACAGTAACACAATCTCAGCTGACTGCAACCTCTGCCTCCCAGGTTCAAGTGATTCTTGTGCCTCAGCATCCCGAGTAGCTGGGACTACAGGCATGCACCACCACATCCCACTAATTTTTGTATTTTTAGTAGAGATGAGGTTTCATCATGTTGGCTAAGCTGGTCTTGAACTCCTGACCTCAGGTGATCTACTGCTGCCTAAGCCTCCCAAAGTGCTGGGATTACAGGCATGAGTCACCACATCTGGCCAAATATTTGATACTTCAAACTTAAGACACTCTACTCTTGGGCACTATAGTCAATAGAATTTAATAAGATAAAAACAAATTTCTGATCCAAAAGAATCACTAGGATCTTTATTAAAAGAAATGCTAATCCTAAAATCAAGTTTATTCTGGGATGGTAGGGAAGGAAAGAGAAATGGGTTAAAAAATTCTTTCTGTTAAATTCCCATTCAGCTTACAAACTAAGATTTTCCTCAGGAAAGAATGGATTAAAAAGGAAAAAGTATAATTTTTAGCAGAAGAAAAATGAAAGCACACATAAATTGTCTTATAAGATAAACAAGTTTGGTTAATTACAATCTTAAACAAAATTTACCAAAAAAAAAATCACAGCTCAAAACACAACAAAATCAATACAGATTTATCAAATTCAAAACAAGTACAACCAACTCACAATTATTCAGAGTGATTTTTAAGTATCAGTAAGAATTATTCAAGAAAACAGAGATAAGAGAGATAATATATACCAATTAGGGGAGAAGAGATACTATCTCCATGCATCCACCACTCCACACAAGGCAAAATCATGAACTGGCTGTACTAAAGAGAAGAAAGCTAAGAGCTAGATGTCCAATTGTGGATACCCAGAATAGCTGAATATGAATAGTTCAGTTGACCTTAATCCTTATCTACACACTGATTTTGGAGTTGCATAGAGAAAGGAGAGGTCAGACTACCTTTCAAGTTTTATGTGCTAACAAGCTGATCAAATAAGGCTATTCTGCAGCATGCATAATTTTAAAAATTCTAGCTCTACTACAGCACTTTCTCCTCCATGTTGGAATCCAGCACAATCATTCTTAGATTTCTACCTACAAATGGAAGCCCATATGCCAGTCTTTGGTGGGAATCTGTACATGCAGATGTGTGGCCTCAGAATACTTCCAAAAAATCCACTAACGTGATAAGCTAAAAAGCAAAGAAGTCATTAGTTTTTTTTCCCTTTTTTTTTTTTTTTTTTTTACAAAGCTTTCTGTTCTCTTTTATTTGTATGAGTTTTAAGTAAAAGCTCGATTCTACTTACTATTTGGTGGCCCTGTTGCCTGGTATGGTGGATAGGATGTCGAAATAGGACGAGAGAAGACTGGCGGTTCATCTCCAAATACCACAATCATGACCTGAATAAGCCCCAACAAGTCTGACTGTGGCTACAAAGTGAAAACAAATTCAAGTCAGCTAGAGTCACTTTTCAGTAAAAAGAAAAAGGCTGGGTCGGGTGCGGTGGCTCAAGCCTGTAATCCCAGCACTTCGGGAGGCTGAGGCGGGTGGATCACGAGGTCAAGAGATCGAGACCATCTTTGCCAACATGGCGAAACCCCGTCTCTACTAAAAATACAAAAATTAGCTGGGTGTGGTGGTGTGCGCCTGTAGTCCCAGCTACATGGGAGGCTGAGGCAGGAGAACTGCTTGAAAACGGGAGGCGGAGGTTGCAGTGAGCTGAGATTGTGCCACTGTACTCTAGCCTGGCACCTGGTGACAAAGTGAAACTCTGTCTCAAAAAAAAGAAAGAAAGAAAAGAAAAGAAAAGAAAGAAAAAGAAAAAAGAAAAAGGTTGGCCATTTCTTATCAGTCTTCAACTCAGCTTGACAATTTTCTTTGTAGGACCCTAATCATGAAAATTTCATTTAATTATTTTAATAGAGCTAGGTGGCCTTAAACATTATGTACAGCAAGTTTCTTGCTTCAAGCATATAAAAATAGCACTAAAGCAGTATGTTGCAAAATTCATAGTTTTGTTCTTCATTTGACTCCACAGAACAAAAATTTATTTTATTGCCACTGTACAATTTATTATAAGTATACTGGTACATATTTAGAGATTAGGGATAGATACAGGCAGCAGTCAGAATATTATTTAGGGCTGTTACAAGACAGCAATGATATCTTGGAAATACATATTCTAAAATTAATTTTTATTGAAGATGTTATAAACTATGAAATTATAGGTAGATTGTAGCCAAGTGTGGTGGTTCACACCTGTAATCCCAGCACTTTGGGAGGCCAAGGTGGGTGGACTGCTTAAGGCCAGGAGTTTGAGACCAGCTGGGCCAACATGGGAAAATCCTGTCTCTCCTAAAAACACAAAAATTAGCCAGACGTGGTGGTATGCACCTGTGGTCCCAGTTACACTGGAGGCTGAAGCAACAGAATCACTTAAACCTCAGAGGCGGAGGTTGCAGTGAGCTGAGATTGAGCCACTGCACTCCAGCCTGGGTGACAGAGCAAGACTGTTTCAAAAAAAGAAAAAAAAAAGCACAAATTATAGGTAGATTCTAGCTTAGAAATTGCTAGATTGTAGTACAAAAGGGGTGAATTGTTAAAGGTGCTAAAAGAGCTTTCTTTTCAACAACAGTGACAGTGACAGACTGCCTATTTTTCCTAAGGTTTACTAAGATTTTCTCTCAAATATCTATTGACCACTGGCCATGCATGGTGGCTTACACTTGTAATCCCAGCACTTTGGGAGGCCTAGGCCACAGGATCAAATAAGACTATTGCGCAGCATGCATAATTTTAAAAATCCTAGCTGTATTCTAGCACTTTCTCCCCCATCTTGGAATCCAGCTTGAGCTCAGGAGTTTCAGACCAGCTTGGTTTCTACAAAAAAATAGAAAACTGTACGTGGTAGCACGCGCCTGTAGTCCCAGCTACTCGAGAGGTTGCAGTGGGAGGATCACCTAAGCCAGGAAGGTTGAGGCTGCAGTGATCCCGTGATTGTTCTACTACACTCCAGCCTGGGTTAGAGACACTGTTTCAAAAAAAAAACAAAACCAAAACCCAACAACAAACCAACAAGATATAACTACCAATCACTAATTAAACTGTGCTAGACAAAGTTGTTCAAATGGCCTATTGATGATTCTTCTTTTACTGCTTAATCTATTTTGTGTGGATCTCATCTCATATACTTCATTCATAAATTCACCGAGTTCTGAAGAATTACTCAATCACCTTGAGGGTAAACATCTTCATAGTAACTATTTTTTACACTCTCCCGACCCCCAATCCGCCAGACAAGGTCTTGCCATGTGGCTCAGCTTAGACTTGAACTCCTGGCTCAAACAATCGTCCTGCCTCAGTTTCCCAAGTAGTTGGATTTACAGGATTAGGATTGGCACTTCTTTTAATACTCCTGACAGAGAAGAGTTCAGTGGTAATTTTTACCTATTCCAAAGAACCAGACTCACCACAGTTGTTCAATTTTGACGTAACTTATGAAAGATGACAATGACTAACATTTCCCAAAGCTTTCTGTAAAAACTTGCTGATTTCTACTGTTACAATATTTTTCTTGCGTCTGTAAATTTATACACTGAGACTTGGGGTGTTATGAGCACAGTATCTGTGCCACACTCACAGATATTGTGGCTGGTGTGTGTGGGAGTGGCCAAAGAGACCACACACTTTATTTTCTTAGTTTTTCAGCCCAAGAAAATTCCTTAACTAAATCATAGCCTTATGTAAGCCTCATGAATGTAGGTGAGGTATAATTCACATCTCATAAAATTTCTCCTTTTAAAGTATACATTTCAGTGGCTTTATTTCACAAAGCTATGCAACCATTACCACCATCTAATTCCAGAATATTTTCATCATCCCAAAAAGAAACCCTGTACCCATGAGTAGTCAGTTCCCATTTCCCTTTTCCCACAGCCCTTTAGCAACCACTAACCTACTTTCCATCTCTATGGATTTGCTTTCCTGAATGTTTCACATAGATTAAATCATATAACATATGGCCTTTCGTGCTTGGCTTCTTTTACTTGGCATAATGTTTTCAGAGTTCATTCATGTTGTAATATGAATCAATTCTTCATTTACACATTCCTAGTTTTGTCAAGATAAGGTTTAATCACCCCATTCATTTTACACTAAATTCTTTGAAGAAAATTAATATCTATGTTAATATCTACTTCCAGGTCTATTATAAAGCAACATTTTAAGAATTCAAACTGAGGCTGGGCGTGGTGGCTCACACCTGTAATCCTGACTTTGGGAGGCTGAGGCAGGTAGATCACCCGAAGTCAAGAGTTTTGAGACCAGCCTGGCCAATGTGGCGAAACCCCATCTCTATTAAAAATACAAAAATTGGCCAGGTGTGGTGGTGGGCACCTGTAATCCCAGCTACTCAGGAGGCTGAGGTAGTCTCTATTCTACTGAATCCAATCTGCTACTAAACCCATCCACTGAGGTTTTTTTTTTTTTTTTTTAAAAAACAGAGTTTCACTCTATTGCCAGGACTGGAGTGCAGTGGCAGGCACGATCACGGCTCACTGCAACCTCTGCCTCCTGGGCTCAAGCAATTCTCCTGCCTCAGTCTCCAATGTAGCTGGGACTACAGGTGATTATGTAGCCCACCACTACGCTCAGCTAATTTTTTTTGTATTTTTAGTAGAGACGGGGTTTTATCATGTTGGCGAGCCTGGTCTCAAACGCCCGACCTCATGAGTTACCTGCCTTAGCCTCTCAAAATGCTGGGATTACAGGCGTGAGTAACTGCGTCTGGCCTGAGTTCTTAATCTCTATTAATTCTATTTTTCGTTCTATGATTTCCACTTGGTTTCTTTTTAATAAAATTTTCCATTTTGTCCTCTATTTTCTTAAACACACTGATCCCAACCATTTTTAAATCTGTGTCTGATAACTAAGTTACGTGTGTGTTTGTGGGGCTGTAGCGGGGGGATGTCCTGTTTCTATTGTCTTTTTTCCTTCTTGGTTTTCTTGGTGTATCTGATAGATACAAATTATATGCCAGGCATTGCTTAAAATTATAAAGGGTCTATATATTATCTTCTTCCACCAAGGGTTCACCTTATCCTGTGGCAGGCAGAAACAGTCAGAATCACCTTAATAAAATCGGGGACTGAGCTGATTTAAGGAAAGATTTTTTTTTTTTTGAGACAGAGTCTCACTCACTCTGTCACCCAGACTGGAGTGCAGTGGCACGACCTCAGCTCACTGCAGCCTCTGCTCCCCAGGTTCAAGTGCTTCTCTTGCCTCACACTCCTGAGTAGCTGGCACACCCGGCTAATTTTTGTATTTTTAGTAAAGACAGGGTTTCACTATGTTGGCCAGGCTGGTCTCAAACTCCTGGCCTCAAGTGATCCTCCCACCTCAGTCTCCCAAAGTGCTGAGATTACAGATGTGAGGGCACCCCATCTGACCCCAAGGACCCATTTTTATAATGCTCATTCTACCTCTAAGTTCTCCCTCCTAAGATAGGTTCCTCCAGTAGTGCCAACTAACAGCCTAGGATGTTTACTTGTTCCTCTTCTTCTTGATAAGGTACTGAATTCCAATTGCCTCCTCAACCTGAGACTGCTGAAAAGTTGGCTGTTTTTCAGAGGCTTTCTGCTTGTTTTTTTTTAGCATCTTTTTCTTTTTCTTTTTTTTTTTTTTTTTTTTTGAGACAGAGTCTTGCTCTATCACCCAGGCTGGAGTACAGTGGTACAATCTTGGCTCACTGCAACCTCTGCCTCCCAGGTTCAAGTGATTCTTCTGCCTCAGCCTCCCAAGTAGCTGGGACTACAGGTGTGTGCAACCACACCTGGCTAATTTTTATATTTTTAGTAGAGATGGGGTTTTACCATATTGGCCATGCTGGTCTCAAACTCTTGACCTCGTGATTCGTCCACCTCAGCCTCCCAAAGTGCTGGGATTACAAGCATGAGCCACCGTGCCTTGCCAGCATCTTACCTTTGAAGCTCAGAAATTCAACATATCTCTTAGGGTGAGAAACTCAGAGTATCTCATCTTTTTTTTTTTTTTTTTTTTTTTTTTGAGACAAGTCTTGCTCTGTCGTCCAGTCTGGAGTACAGTGATGTGATCATGGCTCACTGGCAGCCTCAAACTGCCAGGCTCCAGTGATCTTTTCACCTCAGTTTCCTGAGGTGCTGGGGTAACAGGCACACACCACCATGCCTAGTTTAAAAATATCTTTTTATAGAGATGGGGTTCTCATTATGTCACCCAGGCTGGTCTCAAACTCCTGAGCTTAAGCAATCCTCCTGCCTCAGCTTCCCAAAGTCCTATGATCACAGCCATGAGCCACCATGCCCACACCTACTCACTTCTTCATGGCTTCCTTTTCTCCCAAATTTTGGATCTGAAAGTCCTAGTTACTTTGGTAGACAGAACAGCAACTTTTGTCTTTTCAGCCCTGTGAGACTGCTAGAGACTCTGTAGGTTTCTCTGTCTCTTAGCTATGGCCCTTTGCCCAGATTCTCAGCCATTCTCCCTGCATCAAGAATCAGTAAGTAGACCAGGCATGGTGGCTCATGCCTGTAATCCCAACACTTTAGGAGGCCGAGGCAAGTGTATCACTTCAGGTCAGGAGTTTGAGAACAGCCTCGCCAACATGGTGAATCCTTATCTCTACTAAAAATACAAAACTTAGCCAGGTGTGGTGGTGAGCACGTATAATCCCAGCTATTCGGGAGGCTGAGGCAGGAGAATTGCTTGAAGCTGGGAGGTGCAGGTTGCAGTGAGCTGAGATCATGCCACTGCACTCCAGCCTGGGCAACAGAATGAAACAAAACAAAACAAAAAAATCATTAAGTACCCCAGGAGAAAAGCTATTGGCAGAACTGCCTCATCTCTTTGCTGTTTCCTTCTCTATAGAATCTTGGTCATCCACGTCTTGATTGCCTAAACAGCTTTCCAAAGCCTTCCAACAGGTGTTGTGTGTATTTTGTCTTGCTTTTCTAGTTATTTTTCATAGGAACATTAATCTGTCACAGTTACACCATCAGATAACATGAACAGAAGTTCCCTCCTATTATTCTTGACAAAAATGCTTTGAGTAATGAGATTTGAATTCTATAACTACTCCACCAGGATACTATTTTTTAAAATGCACTTCCTACCATGGGAATCCTATTTTAAAAGGTTCAACTCAAGCAAAAAAAAAAAAAAAAAAAAAAAAGTGAATATAAGTATTCTGAAAATTACAATGCTCTATACAAATCCATTTCTTTTAGTGAGCCTTTTCTAATTTCCCCTCAACTCAGTGATTAGTCCATGACCTGAACTTATCTATCCTACTTGGAATCCTCCTTCAGTGCTTAAGAAAGGAGATGCTTGTTAGCAAAGTATATAACACACAACTAATTCACAGAACATTATTAATACTTACATGTTTCCATTCATGTAGATAAGGAAGATATATCTTCCCATTTGCATCAACATGCTTCCCTGTTTTAATAGTCATTGAACTAGTAGGCTTAACAAAACAGATAGGGGGATTATACGGGTATGTGTCCAGTAGCCATAGGCATATTGGAATATTGTATGTATTACCTAAAAAAGAAATAGAAACTTCAGTTACTCTATTTTTATTATTTTTAAATCAATAGCATAATAGGTAAATAAGAGAGAGCTACAACAAAGCAACACTTAAAAAAAAAAAAACCCCAAGTATTTTGAGTATTAAAGTTCTGCTTACGATCAGTTTCTCACATTTTCAGTCTTTTAAACCACAACAGCAGGATGAAGGAGCTAACTGATCACTATTCTGCCAGCACCTGTTTGCTACTGCAAAATGTTTTTTATGAGTTATCTATTGAGCCAATCTATTCTTTGCTACTTGACTCCCATCATTTCAGTTAATAAGGATGGCTGGGAAGGGATATAAAAGGAAGGAAGAACAGGGATTAAGGTACTCTATCAGAAAGTGTTAAAATAAGCTACATCTGAAATTCTCTTACCAAAAGCCAGATTACAAAACCCAATCCAACTGCCAAACAGACGCTGATTGGTATTCACAGCTTGACCAATGCCTTATGGCATTTTCAGTGATAGTTATTCAGATCAGTGATGTCCACTTCTCTGCTTTATATAATAAAATCTCAGTTAAGAAAGTTGACTCAGTGTTTCAAAGGATCCAATAGATTAAATATATGAAACATAAATCATACTCTTTTCTTACTATGCTCAAAGTCCTAAGTCCCAAGTAACTATATGAATCTCCTAACATAATTAAGATGCATTTTTTTCCCCTTAGAAACAGTTTCATTACATATAAATGTGTATACATAAATTTCACCTAAAGACACCAGATATCTGTGAGTCTTTGGATTTACCTTTTTAACCACAAATTACTTCTACAATGAACAACAAAAAAGCTTCAAAAGAATATATCCTAATACATAAGTTTATTTCCACAATCCAGAATTCTCTGCTTTGTGAAAATGAAGAATTCCCCAGAGTAATTTAGTCTTGTAGACTATGCCATATGAAGAATGGTTAAAGGAACAGAGGTTTAGTTTAGATACAATTTATACATATATCTGCCCCCACCCCATACCAATTTCGCCTAGCAGAATTTATTTCCTGAGGGAAAAAGCAAAGTTAGTAATCTTAAGTTTTACTGTCTTCCCTAAACTTATACTTGCTTTATAAAATGCTGATGCTCAATTAACTGTTTTTTCCCTCTGCTTTTTATGAATGGTTGACTTATTATTTAATAGCATCTCAAATATCACTTCCTCTGTGACCTTCTCATGTGGCCTTGTTCTCCTCTGTAATCTCATAGCACTTTTTCATTTTATAATTCTATAGCAGTTAGAGAATAGTGTAAATATCTATCTATTCCCTTTGTTTCCCTATTAGTGGAGTTCTTCCAAAAGAAGTACATCCTTTATTCATCTTTGTATCCATAGCTCCTCTCGTTATTGCCTTATGCAGGTAATATGTGAAAGCAATGCGTAAAGGACATAAGTCTTAACTAGTTACAAGGAATAATTAACAAACAGAGCTGTCCAAAAACAAAATGGTCTCTCATGAGGCTAAATGCTTCCTTACCACTAAGTATTTCAGCAGAGGGTGAAGGACTGGCTAACAAATTAATTATCTATCATTAGCATTATCACCAACATCACAATCATAAATAATAGCTACTTTTATCTGTCTGCTTATTATATTCCAGGCTCTGTGCCAAGTCCTTTACATCCATTATCTAATAAATGCTAATTTTCCCCAAGTTAGGTAGCATTACCCAAATTTCATAGATGTCCACCTAGAACATGTCACAAAACTGCTAAGATTGGCGACACAGCAAGATTCTGTCCCCTCCAAACAACAACAACAACAAAAGAAAAGGTAATGTATTGTGCTACAGTTACTATGGCTAAGACGTCACTAAGCAATAAGAAGTTTTTCAGCACTGTTAAAATCTTATGGAATCTCCATCATATATGTGGTCACTGACTGAAACATTGTTATGTGGCTCATGATTGTAAAACTTGGAAAAATGGACAAGAATGCTACAGTCCCTGTAGTTATGTTTGAGCAAGAACTCAAACATAACTTCGTCCTGACTTTGAAGTCTGTATCTTAGCTTCCCATTGTCAGAGAAGTTTGAATGGTGTGGGAGGCTGAACTAGGAGACAAGTAAGATCCCTTTCTAGTTCTAAGATTATTTGATTCTGTGAAACATTAAATTCCTCAGGTAAACTTAGGCACTTATTTCTTCATATATATATATATCTTGGTAAAGTTTGAAAAGCTGAAAATGTTAGGTGTGGCTGCCAAATAAAATTCAATTTAAATAGAAGTTAAAATTCCTGTCAGTATGAAAGCCATGAGAAAGTAGATTTAACTTACTTATAACTCTTTGGCAATGTATTTATTATGTATTCAAAATTCATCTATGCTGGAAACCTAATAACATAAGACACTTACCTCTATAAGGCACAGGAATTGTTCCAGTGAGGTTCATTAGTTCCCGGGAACTGCCATCGTTAAAAACTGAAAGGAAAGAACAATGATGAGCATTTTTTTCAGATATACTCCCATAAGTTATTCTTTCAGAATAACTGGTTAAAATGCATTTTTATCCTTAAAAGGGGCTAACTTGTCAATGTAGCCTGTTCCATAACTAAGAATTTTTTGTTAATTCACTCAATGTGATTGATCAGCTTTTTTTGGGGGGGAGGGCACAGAGTCTCGCCCTGTCGCCTGGAGTGCAATGGCATAATCTCGGCTCACTGCAACCTCCGCCTCCCGGGTTCAAGCAATTCTCCTGACTCAGCCTCCTGAGAAGCCGGGATTACAGGTGTGCACCACCACACCCGGCTAATTTTTGTATCTTTAGTAGAGACGGGATTTCACCATGTTGGTCAAGCTGGTCTTGAACTCTTGACTTAGTGATCTGCCTGCCTGACAGTACTGGGATTACAGCCATGTGCCACTAAGAGAGCCAAATGATCAGCTTTTGAATGAGCAAAGATAAGATGCTTTGAATTACAGTCATGTGTCACTTAACAATAGGGATATGTCTGAGAAATGCATCATTAGGCAATTTTGTTACTCGGCAAACATCACATAAAGTATACTTATGCAAACCTAGATGGTATTTAGCCTATTACAAGTCTAGGTCATATGGTATAGTCTACTGTTCCTAGGCTACAAATCTGTACTGCATGTTACTATATTGAAGATGTAGACTACTGTAACACAATGGTAAATATTTATGTAATTTTTTCTTTTTTTGAGATGGAGTCTTGCTCTGTCGCCAGGCTGGAGTGTAGTCGTGTGATCTTGGCTCATTGCAACCTCCATCTCCCAGGTTTAAGTGATTCCCTGCCTCAGCCTCCTGAGTAGCTGGGACTATAGGCGTGCGCCACCAGGTCCAGCTAATTTTTTGTATTTTAGTAGAGACGGGATTTCACCATGGCCAGGATGGTCTCAATCTCCTGACCTCATGATCTGCCTGCCTTGGCCCCCCCAAAGTGCTGAGATTACAGGCATTAGCCACTGCACCCAGCCTATGTGTCTTTACATAGAAAAGGTAATGTAGGCCGGGTGCAGTGGCTTACACCTGTAATCCCAGCACTTTGGGAAGCTGAGGTAGGCAGATCATGAGTTCAACAGACTGAAACCATCCTGGCCAAAATGGTAAAACCCCGTCTCTACTAAAAACACGCAAAAAAATTAGCCGAGTGTGGTGGTGCATGCCTGTAGTCCGAGCTACTCGGGAAGCTGAGGCAGAAGAATCACTTGAACCTGGATGACAGAAGTTGTAGTGAGCTGAGATGGTGTCACTGCACTCCAGCCTGGCGGCGACACAGCAAAACTCTGTCCCCCACAAACAAAACAAAACAAAAAGGTAATACATTGTGCTACAACGTTATCATGGCTAAGATGTCACTAAGCAACAAAAAGTTTTTCAGCACTATTAAAATCTTATGGAATCTCCATCATGTATGTGGTCTGTCACTCACTGAAACATTGTTATGTGGCTCACAATTGTAATGCTTGGAAAAAGCATTGGACCAGAATGCTAGAGTCCCAGTAAATATGAGCTCTTGGTCTCTAACTAACATGATTAGAAACCTATTTAAAAATCACTATCAAACAATATCATACTAAATGTTAATCTAATGTCATTATATTTTAGAGATCCTCATTTATCCCTAGTCATTCATAGTTATTTATTATTGTTTTATTAGAGACAGGGTCTTCCTATGTTGTGCAGGCTAGCGTCAAACTCTAGGCTCAAGCAATCCTCCTACGTCAACCTTCCAAGTAGCTGGGACTACAGGCGGGCACTACCATGTCCAGCTTTTTTTTTGTTTTTTGGAGAACGGGTCTCACCAAGTTGTCTAGGCTGGACTTGAACTCCTGGGCTCAGCCTTCTTAGCCAGTATAAAAACTAAAAAAAGGAAAAGTTCATAGCCAAATATAGACATTTTCTTTTAATCTGTATTTCTCATACCATACACATTTTTCTATTTATAATTTATGTCTATAATTAAAATGGCACATAGTTTGTATGACCTAGACAGCTATTAACAATGATTTGGAATTAACACTGTATCACATAGGGGAAAGGCTGTAATGTGCAGTACAAAAGCATAGAACTATAGCCATCTACTGTGTAATGTTTGGGTCAAGAATGGACTGCATATAAGACACTGGTCCTATACAATTATAAAACTGTATTTTTACTGTAACTTTTCTATGTTTAGATACATAAATACCATTGTGTTACAACTGCCTATGGTATGCAGTACAGTAACATCTGGTATAGGTTGTAGCCTAGGAGCAACAGGCTATGCCATATAACCTAGGTGTGTAGTAGGATTTATCATCTAGGTTTGTGTCAGTGTACTCAATGATGAAATCGTCTAATGATGCATTTCTCAGGCCACATCTCTATCACTACAAAATGCATGACTGTACACTGTTGCCCTTTGTTCTTCTCCTTACTGTTGACAAATGTGAACTATACTGCAATGTATTCTGATTTTGTATATTTTAAAAAAGAAAACCATCTTATATAAATTTGGGGCTTTGTTTACTCTAAAAGAATTTTGGTAACAATGGTATATACTTTGTCCAGCCATATGAAACTATACAAGATTTGATAATGGAGTCTTTGTCAGTTTTGATCAATGTGTTTACTCTTTTATATGAAGTAAAAACTATAAACTTTTAGCTCCAGCCATTTTTCTCCCCACTGAAGCCATTTAAAAACTAACTTTAATTTTGGTAATGTGTGGACAGAAATAGGGGAGGCTGAGATGAGAAGGAATAGTGCCCTAGGTTTGGAAGAGGACTTTGGGTTCATGTCTGTATTGTTTAGGAAATGCAGAACTGATTGCCTCTCTGCTGTTTCCCACCTGTCTTCACCAGGTTCCTAATGTTTCAAAGCCTTGGAAGGGAGTAAAATTTACAAAGTCTCAGCTACAAAATTCAGTTCCTTGCCTTCAGAGCTAAGGGTCTCTATTGAATTAAAGACCACATTAAATAACATTTTACTCATCTATAAAAGAAAGGGACAGTGGACAGTCCAGAGTATAGTTTTGTAAAATGTGTTCCTGAAATTATAAAGAGACACTATGGGGGCAAGGAGTTTCAGCAGTTAAATAACTTTAGAATGTATTACACAATACATTCTCTCTCGTGTTGGTGATATACAACACATTAGCATATTAAAGGCTCCAAGAAATCTTCATGTAATGAAACTCAATTTTGTTTAATCCATAAGTTGCTCAAACTTAACTACAGAATTCTGCCTCTGCCCCCAGAACAACTCAGGGTCTATAGACAACACCTTGAGAAATGGACTCAACTTTAAGATCCCCTCCTAGGTCTAAATCAGCATAGTTCTATGTCAGAGGTTTTTTTTTTTTTTTTGAGACAGGGTTTTCCTCTGTTGCCCAGGCTGGAGTGTAGTTGCCTAATCCCGGCTCACTGCAACCTCTGCCTCCTGAGCTCAAGTAATCCTCTCACCTCAGCCTCTTGGGTAGCTGGGACTACAGACGCACAAGGCTAACTTTTTAAATTTTTTTTGTTGAGAGGAGGTTTCAGTATATTGCCCAGGCTGGTCTTAACCTGCTGGGCTCAGTGGTCCACCCGCCTCAGCCTCCCAGAGTGCTAGAATTATAGGAATGAGCCATGCGTCCACCTAGAGTTTTTTTGTTTTGTTCTTTCTGAGACAGAGTCTTACCTGTCACCCAGGCTGGAGTGCAGTGGCACAATCTTGGCTCACTGCAATCTCTGCCGCCCGGAGTCAAGCAATTCTCCTGCCTCAGCCTCCCAAGTAGCTGGGATTACAGGTGCCCGCCACCACACCTGGCTAATTTTTGTATTTTCAGTAGAAACAGGGTTTTACCACGTTGGCCAGACTGGTCGTGAACTCCTGACCTTGTGATCCACCCACTTCGGCCTCCCAAAGTGCGGGATTACAGGCGTGAGCCACCACGCCTGGCCAAGTATTTCTTTTTAACTTAAAAAACTAAAACTAAAGAAATATAAAACTTTTTTTTTTTTTTTTTGAAAGAGGGTCTCCCTGTGTCGCCCAGGCTGGAGTGCGGTGACATGATTTCAGCTCACTGCAACCTCCACCTCCTGGGTTCAAGGGATTCTCCTGCCTCAGCCTCCCAAGTAGCTGGGATTACAGGTATGTGCCACTACGCCCGGCTAATTTTTGTATTTCTAGTACAGACGGGGTTTCACGATGTTAGTCAGGCTGGTCTCGAACTCCTGACCTCAGGTGATCCGCCTGCCTCGGCCTCCCAAAGTGCTAGGATTACCGGCGTTAGCCACCACGCCCGGCCAAAATGTTTTTATTAGATCTTATAATTTGCTATCCTCCAACAGTTTTATTAAGTGGTGGTGCAATCCTACAACTGAAAAACGCACAAGCCTCAAAAGAAAACGGAAAAAATTACAATCATTAACAAAGAGAGTAAACTCCAAGTATAGGAATTGCTATTTTTATTGCATAAACTCACCATATGAATCCAAAACAGGTTTGAGATCTTTGTATAGAGTAATAACATTGACAGTTTCACGTACAGTTAGGTCTCTGTATTTGTACTGAAAAGCAAAATTGCATAAGAATTTAGTTTAAAACCAATGCATATATTTTACTGCTAGATGAATTTTCTTAAAACCTTTTCCACTAATCATTAAGGACAGCCTGAAAGAACCTAAAAAGCCCACAATGCTACTATCTCACTAAAATAATCACTATTCCCTTAATATCAGTAAATATCTATAGTCTCAAGTCATGTTTTTTTATGTTTTCAGTTTGAATCAGGATCCAAATAAAGTCCATACACTGCATTTGTTAAAATGTCTCTTAAGTCCCTTTTAATTTATATTTTTTAACTCATCATTTATGGCTTTTTAAAGATATAATTCACACATTTAAAGGGTACATAGTTCAATGGTTTTTAGTACATTCAGAGTCGTGCAACCACCACCATTATCAATTTGAGAACATTTTCACCATCCCTAAACAGAAATTCATACCCTTTAGCAATCACCCCCCAATTTTACTTGTCCCCAGCCTTCATCCTGGACAACCAAGGATTTACTTTCTGTCCCTATAAATTTGCTTATTCATACAATATGTGATCTTTCATGACTAAATTCTTTCACTTAGTAGGTTTTCAAGATTAACCATGTTATAGCATTTATCTGTATTTCACTCCTTTTATTTATTTTTTTGGAGACAAGGTCTCGCTCTGTCACCCAGGCTGAAGTACAGTGGCACAATGATAGCTCACTGCAACCTCAAACTCCTGGGCTCAAGTGATCCTATTGCCTCAGCCTCCCAAGTACATAGAATTAAAGGCGTATGCCATCATGCCCAGCTAATTTATTTTTATTTTTGTAAAGACAGGGTCTTGCTATGTTGCCCAGGCTGGTCTCCAACTCCTGGCCTCAAGCAATCCTCTTGCCTCAGCCTCACAAAGTGTTGGGATTTACAAGCATCTATGGTCCACTTCTTACTGCACATTTATCTACTGTTCAGCTACAAATACAAATACTTAACTGACGGGCACATCTCTATTTTTGCTCCTTAGAATTTATTTGTTAAAGAAATCTGTTCATTTGTCCTATAGAGGTATGGAATTTGTTAACTGTATCACTTTAGTATAAATGTTTCCGTGATTTAATTGGATCTAGAGGTTATTATCTTCATGATGAAAAAATTTCCTTTAATTTTTTTTCCTCTTCTTTCTCTCTAAGATCACTTCATAGAGGATAATGTTTTTTATCATGGAGCACAATATAGCTGAGTATCTCTGTGATGCTAGCAACCACTGATGCTCAATGTCTAGAGACCTGGTCTCTTCAAATCCACTCCAATTAGGCTTCTAAACTCAGCACGTCATTAAACTTGTTCATTAAGGTCACCATAATTGCCACATGATATGCAATGACTGATTCTATCTTCATTTTTCTTCATCTATTAGCAGTATTTGACCAAGCTGATTCAGCAACATTTGACCAAAATGATTCCTTCTTTTTTTTTTTTTTTTTGAGATAGGGTTTCACTCTGTTGCACAGGATAGAGTGCAGTAGTGCTATCATGGCTCACTTCAGCCTCAACATCCTGGGTTCAAGTGATACTCCCACCACAGCCTCCCGAGTAGTTGGGACTACAGGCATGTGCCATCACACCGGGCTAACTTTTAGATTTTTCATAGAAATGAGATCTCACTATGTAGCCCACCCAGGATGGTCTCAAACTCCTGGGCTCAAGTGATCCTCTCACCTCAGCCTTCCAAAGTGTTGGTGTTACAGGCATTAGCCACCATGCCCAGCCCCCTTCCTGTTAAAATATGTTCTTCATTTGATTTCTAGGACATCAACTGTTCTCCTGCACTGTGTCTGTGTCTTCTCAGCCTCTTTCCTGGTTTGTTCTCTTATTCTAACCAATTATATTGAGTGCAGGCTCAATCCTTGGTCCTCTTCTCTATCTAAACTCATTCCTTTATCCTCGTGGTTGAAAATATAATTTGTATGTTGAAAACCCTCAAATTAAAATTTTCCAATCTTAGCCTCTTCTCTGAACTCCAGAAAACATGTATACAATTAACAATTTAACATTTCCCCTTGAATACCTAATCAATGTCAAATTGGAACATGATCAAAACTGAACTCCTTATCTTCCCCCCAAATTTACTTCCCCAATGTCTTCCATATGTATGTATGTATGTATGTGTGTGTGTGTGCGTGTGTGTCCTTCCAGGTGCTCAGGACAAAAACTTTGACATTACCCTTGATGCCCTCTCTTTTCTTCACGTCCACAGGAAATCTGTCAAAATATCCTGCTAGCTTTACCTTCAAAATATATCTGGAATCTCCACAGCTACAGTCCTGGTCTAAGCCACCAGCACCTCTCACCTAGATTACTCCAACAGCCTCTTTATGGTGTCTCTGCCTCCATCCTTAACCCCCTGCAGTCTAGTCTCAACACAGAAGCTAGAGTAATGTTAACAGCTGAAACAGAGCAATGGCTTTTCATCATACTTCAAGTAAATGCCAAGGTCCTTACAATGGCCTACAAGGCCCTCTAAATCTCCTATACCACTGATGCTCTATGTCTAGACCCATACCACCACTTCCTCCCTTGCTCACTCCAGTCTAACCACCCTGCCCTCCTTTGTGGTTCCTCTATCATGCAGGACAAACTTCTGTCTCAGAGCCTTTGCACTTGTTTTTCCTTATTTCTGAAATGTTCTTAACCCAAATTATTCCATGTTGGTTTTCTTTTTGAGTCAGGATCTCGCTCTGTCACCCAGGCTGGAGTACAGTGGTGTGATCACAGCTCACTGCAACCTCAAACTCCTAGGCTCAAGTAATCCTCCCATATCAGCCTCCCAAGTAGCTGGGATTAGAGGTACATACCAAGCTTAGCTAATTTTTTTTTATATTTTTAGTAGAGATGAGACAAGATCATACTATGTTGCCCAGGCTGGTCTGGAACTCCTGGCTTCAATACGATCCTCTAGCTTCAGTCTTCCAAAATGCTTGGGGCTCAGAGGTGTGAGCCCTGTGTCAAGCACACAGTTTCCTACCTCTCTCAGGTGAGCTCAAATAGCTTTTTTCAGAAAGACCTCCCTTTACTATCATATATAAAACGGACTCATCCCAATTCCAGACCCTAGCACTCCCTGTTTCTCTTTCCTGCTTTATTTTCTCTAAAGCATCTATCACTTTCCAACATACTACTTAAGGTATTGAGTTGTTTATTGCTTTAAGAATTTAAATTCCAGAAGCATATTGTCCAATTGTTCACTGTTGTATCCCTAGAACCTAAAACCTTATGAGGGATATAGCAACCTTTATTTTGTTATTTTTTATTATTACTTTGAGATGGAGTCTCACTGTCACCCAGGCTGGAGTGCAGTGGCATGATCTTGGCTCACTGCAACCTCTGCCTCCCAGGTTGAGGCAATTCTCCTTCCTAAGCCTCTTGAGTAGCTGGGATTATAGGTGAGCGCCACCACGTCTGGCTAATTTTGTATTTTTAGCAGAGATGGGGTTTCACCTGTTGGCCGGTCTGGTCTCAAACTCCTGACCTCAAGTGATCTGCTCGCCTCAGCCTCCCACAGTGCTGGGATTACAGGCATGAGCTACTGCACCTGTCCAATTCTATTACTGTTTACATTTTTTTAATTTTTTGACAGGATCTCACTCTCTCATAGCTCACTGTAACCTTAAGCTCCTGGGCTTAAGTGATCCTGCTGCTTCTGCTTCCCAATTAGCTAAGACTACAGGTGCATGCCACCAAGTCTGGCTGATTCTTAAATCTTTGGTAGAGACAGAGTCTAGCTATGTTGCACAGGCTGATCTAGGCCTCAAGGGATCCTCCTACCTCTACTTCCCAAAGTATTGGAATTACAGGCATGAGCCACCACACCACGCTCACAGTTTTCTTCTACTCATTTAGCAGTGATTGCAGCTTTAGAAATGCTATAAACTATGTAAAAATGTAAGTGGCTGTATGCATGAAATATCTAAAGTGGAAAGTTATTTCTGTAAAGCAAGGACTAATTTAGTATAAATATATCTCCGTTAATTGCAAAAATAATAATACAGAAGGGTGATGAAAGTTATGTTTAAGAGTGAGGTGGTTCACGCTTGTAATCCCAACACTTTGGGAGGCCAAGGTGGGCGGATCACGAGGTCAGAAGACTATCCTGGCTAACACGTGAAACCCTGTCTCTACTAAAAATACAAAATATCAGCCAGGTGACACTAGCCTGTAGTCCCAGTACTCGGGAGGCTGAGGCAGGAGAATTGCTTGAACCTGGGAGGTGGAGGTTGCAGTGAGCCAATATTGTGCCACTGCACTACAGCCTGGGCAACAGAGAGAGACTACATCTTAAAAAAAAAAAAAAAAAAAAGTAAATTATGTTTAAGTTGGGAGCTAAGATAATGTACAAAGGAAAAAAAGATCTTCTATAATATATATATTAAAAAACATAAGGCAGGTGGCCAGAGTACCATGATGGGTGAGAGTCTACAATCAGATAAACATGGTAACAATCAGATAAATCAGAAAACAATGACCTTCACCCTAGCCATGTGTACAGACCACACCAGCTGAAAGGAAAACATTTCAAGCCCTTCTTTAGAAGGAAGGAGCCCCACAACTGCTTCTATTACTTTACTTTCTATTCTTACCTGTCTAAAATTCATAGGTTGGACAGAAAATTCATAGGATGCTCAGAACCATCATAATCACATACAGGAGTCTCAGTTTTTCAGATATTAAGCCAAGGACCAACAGACAGACAGGATGCCCTCTCCCACCTCTTCTCTGTATCTGTTTTTGTTTTTAGAGTAATCAGAGGTTGGGTGGAGGGGGAGGCGGGTAGAGGTATAAAATAGCTCTGAACACAAACTTGCCTTTGTCTTTAATGGCAGGTTTCTCTAGGGGAAGCTTAGGAGTATAAAAAAATAAGCTCATATTTGAATATTCTTGCTCTTTATATGAATATACATACATTAGGGAATAAATCTTAAAATGACTATGCTATCAATTTAAAGATCAAAATGTCATAGAGGCCAGGCGTGGTGGCTCATGCCTGTAACCCTAGCACTTTGGGAAGCTGAGGTGGGTGGATCACTGAGGTCTGGAGTTTGAGACCAGCCTGGCCAACATGGTGAAACCCCATCTCCACTAAAGATACAATGTGGCCGGGCACAGTGGCTCACACCAGTAATCCCAGCACTTTGGGAGGACAACGCGAGCGAACTGCCTGAGATCAGGAGTTCGAGACCAGTCTGGCCAACAGGGTGAAACCCTGTCTCTACTAAAAATACAAAAAAATTAGCCGGGCGTGGTGAAGTGCACCTGTAATCCCAGCTACTTGGGAGGCTGAGGAATAGCTTGAACCCGGGAGGCGGAGGTTGCAGTGGGCCAAGATCGCACCACTGCACTCCAGCCTGGGTGACAGAGCAAGACAAGACTCTTAAAAAAAAAAAAAAAAAAAGTAATTGAACAGATGCTATTCAGTTACACACTATATAAAACAATTTACTTTTTTTTTTTTCCTTAAGTGATATAACATAGATCTTTACCTGGGTTCCAGTCTTCTATGGCTTCCCACTCTTCGATAACTAAGGATAACTAGTTTATCAAAACAAAACCAAGAAGCCTAGAATATATGATTACACAACTAAGGTATGCTTTATTTTGAAAACTGTCACTTTCTCTTTAGAGGTTATTTGTTCTTCAATCAAGAACTATGGGGGCGATTTAACTGGAAAAGGTCTGTTTTTTAAAAAGTTTTATGCATATTGGTGTGTTTTATTAAAAACTGAAACCACTTAAACCGCTGATTGCTACCGTTCTTGCTTTGACAAACTAGCCAAAGCTCACACGTTGAACTGGTTAAGACTCAACTCTCAATCATTTTACATCGTTTTGGCAAATTACAACAAAACACAACAAAAGCCATTCCACTCCGGTGTGAGGTGCCACGTTTGAAGTATTATATAAATAAATCATGGCTTTAAAATACAAAATGCTTAATTGCTTTTTTTAAAATAGAAGAAAAATACACTATACCTGACCTGTGAAGACCATAAATTAAGCTCAAAGCAAACAAATAAGAGTTATAAGAAGCATACACTTAATAGTAGTTACTCTTAGCAAATTTCTGAAATGGTAATCGTATTTATTCCACCGGGGGAAGTAAGGGATTGGTATTTTCGCTTCTCTGGACTTTTCTGGAGCATGCAAAACTGAAAAGGCCACAGTCCCTGCCGGCCGACAAGAAAAGGCGAAGACTGGAGGATCCCTAGTAGAGGACTGCCTCAGATCTAGAACTAAGTATGACCCCTTCTTTGTGTTATAAAAACTAAGACGAAAAACTACACTGCCCCACAGACAGCTCCCAACTCTGTGGAAGAGAGGAGGGCGGGTGGGCGGCAGGTGTCAGGCGGCCTCCGCTCGGCGCCTTTGTTGAGTGTCGCCGCCCCCAACCCTCCCTGCTTCCGTACGGGGATTCCCGCACCAGGCGACAGGCGCCTCGGGGCTGGGGGCCAAGAAGGTGGCCAAGGACCGCACCCGGGCTTCCGGCCCGTCTGGGAGGCTTGCTTGGCTGGGCCGGGACGGACTGGGCAGGGCGCGGAAGGGAGCAGTGGGCGCGTCGCAGCCTTACCTTGGACACCATCTTCTTGAGCTGGCTCTCCGACACCGCCATGACGGCCGCCTCGCGACTCTAGTCCCCGCAGGCAAAGGGTCAGCCGCTGCTGGGTTGCCCCAAGCCACCCCACACAAGCGCACACCCCCACCCAGCCTCAAACAACAGGAAGTCGGTACCACGACAGCACTTCCGTTTCCTCTACGTCACTTCCGGGACGCCGTCCTGAGGGCTGGAGTGTACACCGTGTGGGATTGAGGGAGGCCTGGCGGGGTGATTCCAACCAACCCGCCTCTCTAATGCGAGATTCAGCCGGACGAATCGGGTCCCAAAGATGAGGGGAAGACTGTTCTGAGGGTCGAAACTCTGTTTCAGGATAAGATTGGCAGGTATTTCAGAGTCGATTTAAGGAACCTAGTGACGGGAGGGGAAGAAGCACGAAGGGCTTGCCAGTTAGCTTTAATGACTGATTCATCAAGTGGGAGGACTCTGCACTGGCAGGCAGAGAACTGTTCCACCACTGACTTACCCTTGTGATAATGGTAGGCTAGTGTATTTCTAGCTCAGGCATAAGGTTTTCCCAACTCTAAAATGATACACTCACATTAGATGATGACCAGTGTTCCTCTGATTATCTAGTGTTTTTTTTTTTAAAGCTTAAAAGTCCTTTATACTACGTTGGCAAGGGTAAAGTGTAGAGCCTTTGTTTCACAAGATGCCAGACAGTAATTTCTTCTCCAGGAAACCGTTCCCTAAGTCAGAATTTCTCCTCTGTACCCAGACATAAATGACAACACAGGCCGTGTTCTACCTGGTGCTGTATTTGTGTACTTGTTAACCTTCAAAATCTAAGCCCTCGAAGGCAGGCTTACTTCAGATCTTAATTGCCTCGCACAATGCTAGAGTAGGTACTTCCATCTTAATTTAATTTCTACTTCTCATAAAAATTCTTCATGGTGACTTAAATTAGTCATTATTACACATCACCGCCAGTTTTGTAAGCACAGTGTTATTTAAGGTGTTGAGGAGTTTGAGTTTGATGATGAGATGTTTGACAGGATGATTTTAGTATATCCCTAATGATTACAAGGCTGTGGTATTGATTCCCTTCAAATCTGGCATCTAAGTAAAGGTCACATTCACAAGAAGGGCTTAACTGAAAGCATGTAGAAGCATCATTATAAACTGTTGCTAACACACACAAATAAAGGCTATTCCAATAGGTATTGGTTTTTCTTTTTCTTTTCCTTTTTTTTTTTGAGACAGAGTCTCACTCCGTTGCCCAGGCTGGAGTACAGCAGCGCCATCTCTGCTCACTGCAACCTCCGCCTGTTTTTCAATAACACCTTAGTTAAGTATACAACTGCAGTCAAACCAAACTAGAGGTCAGTCTGTTCTTCCATTTTACTTGCTGTTTTATGTCATTTGAAAGCAATGTGGTTTTCAAACTTCTTAAAGCCACAGTTTAACCAGGAGTCCCTTTAATAAGAGCAACTGTACCTTTGTGAATTGGAGGAATGTCAGATAATATATATTTTAATAAATTTTATAAATATAAAAATAAATTATATATGTGTGTTTATTTTATATATGTTTGTTTGAGGTGGAGTTTTGCTCTTGCTTGCCCAGCCTGGAGCGTAATGGCGTGATCTCAGCTCACTGCACCTCTGCCTCCTAGGTTCAAGCGATTCTCGTGCCTCAGCCTCATGGGTAGCTGGGATTACAGGCGCCCACCACCAAGGCCAGCTAATTTTTTGTATTTTTAGTAGAGACAGGATTTCACTGTGTTGGCCATGCTGGTCTTGAACTCCTGACCTCAGGTGACCCGTCTACCTCAGCCTTCCAAAGTGCTGGGATTACAGCTATGAGCCACCGCACCCGGCCTGTTTATATATTTTTTGAGACATGGCCTCATTCTGTTGCTGAGATTGCAGTGCAGTGGCGTGAACATGGCCCACTGCAGCCTCGACCTCCCTGGCTCAAGTGATCCTCCTGTATAGCTGGGACCACATGTGTGAGTCACCATCCCCAGGGAATTTTTAAATTTTTTGTAAAGATGAGGCCTCACTTTGTTGCCCAGGCTGGCCTCAGAACCCCTGGGTTCAGGTATCTCCCACGTTAGCCTCCCAAAGTGCTGGGATTACAGGTGTGAGCCACTGTGCCCAGCAATATATTGTTTAAAAAGCTTTCTTTCTTTTTTTGAGACAGAGTTTCGCTCTTGTTACCCAGGCTGGAGTGCAATGGCGCAATCTCGGCTCACCGCAACCTCGGCTCACCGCAACCTCCGCCTCCTGGGTTCAAGCAATTCTCCTGCCTCAGCCTCCTGAGTAGCTGGAATTACAGGCAAGCGCCACCATGCCCAGCTATTTTTTTGTATTTTTAGTAGAGATGGGGTTTCACCATGTTGACCAGGATGGTCTCGATCTCTTGACCTCGTGATCCACCCGCCTCGGCCTCCCAAAGTGCTGGGATTACAGGCTTGAGCCACCGCGCCCGGCCCGTTTAAAAAGCTTTCTTGCTGCATGTTTACAATCAGTCTTTTGCAGTCTTTCAGGGTCAACACTGTACCCCGATATAAAGTGTTAACTTCTTACCTATTTCACTGGAACCGTGGTAGATTGAATGTGTGTGGGGAAAACGTTTTTGTGGTTTTGGAAATAGGCAAAATCAGTTACTTTTTAAATACGAAGGTGATAGTAGTTGAAATGCTTTTGAAAGTTGCTTGCCAGGTGCAGTGGCTCACGCCTGTAATCCTAGCACTTTTGGGAGGACTAGGTGGGCAGAAGATGAGGTCAGGGGATCAAAGACCATCCTGGCCAACATGGTAAAACCCTGTCTCTTACTAAAAATACAAAAATTAGCTGGGCGTGGTGGCACCATGCCTATAATCCCAGCTACTCAGGAGGCTGAGGCAGCAGAATCCCTTGAACCAGGGAGTCTGAAGTTGCAGTGAGCTGAGACTGTGCCACTGCAATCTAGCCTAGTGACAGAGTGAGACTCCATCTCAAAAAAAAAAAAAAAAAAAAAAAGTTGCTTGCCATGTCAACACTAAAGATGAGGTTTTTTCCACTCAATAGGCATTTTGATTTCTATCCTCACATATATTAATGGAGAATTTTAAATCCCCAATTATCACAGTTGAAAACACAAGCTGGTGGTGCACCTGTAGTCCCAGCTACTCCAAAGGCTGAGGCAGAAGGATTATTTAAGTCCAAGAGTTCGAGTCCAGCCTGGGCAACATAGAACCTGGCTCAAAACCAAAAAAACTTAAAAAATTTTCTTGCTAAAAATAACTTAAAAGTTTGAAAACAATTGATAAAATCTAGTCTCTTCATTTTACACAAAATAAGTAAATATCCTGGGTGCTGTATGAATTATATGAAAAAAATCTTTCTCCTTAATCTGAATGTTTCACTTAATAAATGAACCATCACCTGGTGATTTTAAAATCAGTTTATTTTATTCATTATTCTTAATACTTAAGGAAAGCACTGTAAATTGGAAAAATAAAAATGTACCTTCTGCTACATTAAAAAAGCATTTTTATCCCAAGCCCACTAAAAATTGTAACAAGCTCTGCATGATTTTGTAAAAATAAAAACATGAAAGTTAACAGAAGCACTTAGAATGTCAAATTATCACAACATCATAGGAAGGTGGTGGTGGTGGTATTACTTCTTGACTGGAATTTACAACATGATTACTAATACAGTTAACATTCAAGGAAATATCTGATACAGAGAATTAACTTCTACATTGTGGCCATCCAGAGGGCAAAGACTGTATTATTCATCTTTGAATAGTCAAATTCTAACACAGTATTCGGAATAACAGTCAGTGTTGAATAAGCATTTGTTGTATTGACATGTTTCTTTTATAATTAATAAGTTCTTGGTAATTTATTATACAATATTTTCTGGTTAGATTATTGTTCAAAAGTATATTAGGAATTATCTAATTAGACATCAAATACTAGAAACAAGAAATAGTTTTTAGTTTTACTTTCCTATTTCATACAAAAGGATAGTAACAATACACTGTTAGGGTAACATGAAATAATGTATGTGTATATTGAAATTACATAGAACTAAATGCTTATCTCTTCAAATGTCCTAGGTTTTTATCCAATTAACTCTGGGGGGACTCTTTACAAGCGTATTGAATACTTTTCTGCTTTCCTAAACATGGGATACTGAATATAATTTCACCGTTTCTTTATGACTAACGTTCATCATTATAAGCATTCCTTATTACACTAAAACAGCATTAGTTTACCAATTTCCTCTTTACCTAGGATGTGTCTGCCCTTATAAACCCTCCTATCTCCATCTGGATTCACCTATTATATGCTTGCTTTATTTTTTTATTTTTAGAGACAGGGTCTTACTCTGTTGCCTAGACTGCAGTCCAGGGGCGTATCATAGCTCACTGGAATCTTGAACTTCTGGGCTGAAGCGATCCTCCTGGCTCAGCCTCCTGAGTAGCTGAAACTACAGGTGCTTATGACCACACCTGGCTAATTTTTTAAATTTTTATTAGAGACACAGTGTCACTATGTTACCCAGGCTGGTCTCAAACTCCTGGGCTCAAGCAGTCCTCCCACCTCGGCCTCCCAAAGTGCTAGGATTACAGGCATGAGACACTGCACCCAGCCTTGCTATATGCTGTCAAAGCACCTTGGAATTCTTCACAGTACTTACTACACTTGTAATTGTACATTTATGTGAGATTTTATTACTATATATTCCAAACTAAATTGTATAGACCATGAGGGCTCGTACCTAGACCAGGCCTATTAACCATTAATGGCTGGTGTACAGCAGGTTCCTAATAAATACTAGCTGAATGACTAAATAAATAAATAACTACCTCAGTGCATAACCCCCTCTGCAATTTGCTGAGGAAATCTGAGAATCCAGAGATTCAGTCTTCCTAAAAACTATGTTTGTTTTTTAAAAAAGCAAGCCTTACATGAGAATGAAAGTAATCCTTTCATGGTACACAGGATCCCAACTTTAGGGTCTTTTGATAACTATTTTGGCTGTTAAGCATTTCCCCCGTTTTAGTGCCTAGAAAAAGTAGAGGTTGTATGGATAAGTGCCCCTTAATAGCCATGGACTTTCTCAGCACTAAACCTGAATTTCCTTTTATAAAATGATGATGGTAATAGTCCCTACTCTGGTGGGTTGTTGTGAGGAT